AAAAAACAATTATACAAGTTACATGAATTCCAAAAACCATGTATACAAGTACAAAGGCTTTGCTTTCTCTTTTCTAGGTTCCTGACCCTCCTTGCCATCTGCATTGGCCATGTCTGTGAATTGAAGGCTGCCCTCACCCCCTCCTCAACTGGCCACATGACTTTTGCAATTAAACATGTTTTTCTAATGTTCCAAGTGGTAAGTTGGTTTGCTCTCAGACCCATCCAAAAGCCCCCAAATACCAGATATTATATCAGACATATCAACTTCAGCAAGTCAACATATATATATATAAAATAAGGATGCCCAAACACAGCTACATCGGTATCAGCAGCTGCTTGACCCCTGCATAGACATGACCCTGCATGGAACATGCTGCATAACTCAGCGCAAGTTTGTTCTTCCCTGTGCATCGATTCCAGAGCCAGGGCACAGCAGCCTGAATTTGTGCGCCTCACGTTTTCAGAGACCTGTCTCTCACACTCTCTTTTCATCACTTCGATCTTGCAACCTCCATGAAAAAATCACCACCGTTTCAATCCTTGAACATATCAACTTCATTCCCATGGTTTCCAATGATTTGACATATGGTTTGCGGCACTTTTGGCAGCGCCCACAAACCATATGTCATTGCCCTCGTCCAATCACAATCTCCAATCACAATCTCCAAAAAGTAACTTCACATATGCAAAATTGTGGTTTCTATCTCGCTGCAACCTGGTTGTTTGTGTTGATTTCTCAATTACAAATTAGCAATTCTAAAAAAGATGCAAGTCTGTGGTTTCCACTTCGCTGCAATCCGGTTCTTTTTATGCTAATTTGTTCAAACACAATTTTCAAAAAGTTATTTTCCAAATGAAGCGCCTGGAAGTGACCATGAACGGTGCCATGTCTGCTATACGCCGGGAATCATCCATCATTGCAGCGACATCTTCGGCAGGCCTAATTGAGCGGTAAGTAACAAAGGTCTATCATGGTTCCTCACACCACGTTCCTGAGGCTCAAGCACAATCTCGTCAAAGTCGCGTGTTGGCACAGTTTCAAGGATCCGGTACAGCACCGGGGAGTTCGAATCCCGGGGTGCATAACAGCTTGGAGCGTCCAACCACAACTGAAGATATCCCAATGAGTTTCACCTCCAAATCACTTGCCGGTCATATCCCGAAACCGATTGTCGATTGAGTAGTAATGCCCAGACACACCCATCTGTACCAACAAGCTTATCCTGTGGTGAGGACGTATCGGGGTCCAGTTCACCTTGTTCATCTCATCCAGAACATCAGTCTCAAACTGGTTCACCTCAGAGCTCCTAGTCATCGTCTGCAATTCCGCTATTCTGCAGAAGGAGGGGGTACCACTGCCGTCACCATCATACAGTGCTAATATCCTCGTAGATCTGCTCCACTTCAGAGTTGTGCACTGGGACAGTGAGTCTCTCAGGAAGTATGAGGTCTTCTCTGATTCCAACAGTGCGTTATGAATGTCTGAGCGTCGCTATCCATGTTCTCCTTGTACTTCGCATCCGGGTTCACACTGCCCGCGCGGACAGTTTGGAGTGCGCCATCATGTATTTCGCTGTTCATCCTTCTTTTCCTGCTCGCTGTCCCTGCGAGCTGTGCTCGTTGCAGTGCGGACCTGCTATGGTCCTCCTTGGGCTGGGCGCACTTCTTACCATGCCGCTACGCAAGCAACCTGCTTTGGTACAATATCTCGATTGATGATCCGTTGCTCATCTGTACTGTTGACAGCTGTGCCCAAGTGCTTTCTGCAACCCGGTGAGGGGAAGAACCAAACAGAGAAGGTTTCTTTGCGACCTGGATTGCGCACCTGGTGATTTTCCCACGGCCAAGGCCCATTTAGCGCTGTTGGCCCACCAGTCTCATGCGCAGGCCGATCGTCGCACCGAAGAGGTGCACAGAAGGAAGCGTGATGCTCTACGCTCCATTCCGCGCATGGTGGCCAATGTGTTGCGCTGGCCTGCTGAGGTAGGGACAAAATTCGGCGGTCTGCTCGATGCGCAGCAGCTTGAACTGGAAAGCGCCAGTGGCACAATGTCATCATCGCTGATTGGCGGTCCAGCGTACAGTGCCTCTTGAATAGCCTGTTGACAATCAGCCTCAAAGAAGGCCTTGGCCGCTGCTTTCCTCAATTCCATACTACGATGTATTGTCAGGTCACCAGGAGCGATGGGTGTTGATCGGTTTAATCTCGGCTCTCGACCTGCCATCAACTCGCCAGGAAGACGAAGAGTAAAACCAAGGACTCTTTGGATTGATGAATAACCACCTTTAAGGAGAAGCCGGTTCCGCATAATGCAGCTAATGTCAACTGCCGACCTCCATTCGTTGTCAATAGAGCAGTTGGTCGAGCTCATAGTCTTGTATAGGATCTGCTTGAATGTTCGCCCAGATTGGCCAGCTCTACGACCCAGCATGTGCTTAGAACTTGCAACTGCCTCAATGTGGGGCCGTGATTCCCACCTAAACCATGAAGTGTTGGACGTTGGTCGTTTACGAGTTTTGTCTGTCAAAACTTTTGTACGAATGTGAGTTGAGCGTGACTCCAGCATGATTCAAGTCGGCACACAAAGCTTTATATTAATTCGACACGGTGATGAATTGTCATCGACTTGAACAAAGCATGGCGTCGCTAAAAAGCAAACAAAAGTCAGCTATGAGTGTACTGAGTGCACCACGTGACCGATATAACATACTGACTTGTATGATTGCCGAAAAAAAATCCGCAGAAATGGTGACCTTAAAGTTTTTGAAGGTCAAACAAATGTCACCTCGTAAACTAGGTCATTTGCAGTGCGGATCTCGTAAGACTGGTCCTTTTGACGTGGAGGGGGTGGTTTCCACTTCCAAGTTAGTTCCAGGGAGAGAATCGACATACCTCAACCCATTTCAGCTGGATTTGTCTACAAATGCCGGGTCTCGTTCCCAGCAGAATTCTTTTAACATCAGGTTTTAGCGAGGTTTTAGGCTGCGATGATTAACCAACAGACCTGGTCGAAATAGTCTTTCTGACCAGGTCAAGACAACAAGAAATCGCATACTGAAAGCAACAAAGCCTTTGAAACAGAAATAGTCTTTGGTGGAGGTGATCATTAAACCCATTGCCGTATACCTGCTTCATAGCGACGTATAGCGATCGTGTGACCCTGTCTTTAACCTTATGGGGCCATGCATGGCACTCTACCCGCTAATATTGATGTAAGTCCTAGATGCAGTAAAGCACTCTACCCAGTCAACTGCAATTAATTTCATATTTTTGACATGATAACATGACGGTAACGTGTTGCTTAGGCATGTTTTGGCACCCCATGCTCTATAGTTCACCCGCAAACGACTGCAGGGTCATCATTGCATAGTTCAAGACAACATCCAAATCATCCATCTATGTCATCTATGGAATAAACACTATATGCACGTAAGCTACTTACATTGTCCCTTGAAACCATCCAAAATTGGGGCCAACAAAAAGCTGTCCCAGTCTGGAGTGTTTGGGAACACCAGCATGGATGGCGCTGTCCGCCGACGGAGGCCAACGGAGTCCCTCTCCGACTCCGGAGCCGTTTCTCCAATAGGTGAACCTAAACTTTTGGTCTCTTCATCTTTCAAAAAAACCGGCCAAAAAGCGGATCAAGATGATCCGCTGTCAACTCCTGGGATGATCATGTTTTTCGCATTTCTCCATAGGATCGCAGATCGGTCGATGCGTTCACTGTCCAAGTTGCCATGAGAAGATGATCGGCCACTTTGACCTCCTGCGGATCAAGGAGGTCGAACAGGTCCAAAACGGCACAGAAATAGGACCCTACAACTGATCCAAATAATTCCATAGGCACCCCAGTGAGGTCCTAAGAACGGACACTTAAGGTCTCTTTGAAGGTCCAGGGAGGGTCGAGGGTCGCCGTGCTCGAAATGTTGAAGTCGAGGAACAATTGGTTAAGGGTCTCCCAACTTGGCCCATCGACATCCTTCTACATATCGACTCATGGTTCTTGGGTATAGACGCTATAAAAAATTATATAAGTGCGCATTTTGTTGTTGTTATTTGTGTGTCTTTTGGGGGAATGTTGTTTGCGTTGCGTTTGGGAAGTCTTTTGTGCGGGCGCGGTCGTGGTTTCTCTCTAGTTCCGTGAAGACCATTTTCCATGTCTATGGTTATTTCAGGCGTCTAGGGCCAGTCCGCAAAAAGTATACTAACCACACCATCATGAGACATGTACATCATAATCGCGAAGGGAGTAAAGAATGAAAGACGAGTTCTGTTCATTTGATGCACGTGGGTTGTCCCTTAGGGTGAATCAAAACACAACAACCAGTAGAGCAGAAAGCAAACAACAAGAGAAGGAAAAGTATGGATAACCAAACAAGCAGGAATACAGCAAATAAAAGGCAACAGCAACAAAGGCCATAGAAAGTAAGTAACAGAAATTAAAACAGGGAAACAATACGCCACAAGAGGACAAGAAGCAGGAAAGTAGAGAAATGCAGGAGAAAAGCCAGAAAGTCCAAAACAAGCGGAAAAGAAGCAGGAAAAGCAACAACAACAGGAGAAATCACAAAGAAGCAATGAAAAGCAAAGGACATGCAGGGAAAGCAACACAAGGACAAAAGAGCAGGATAAACACGAAAAGCCACAAAGAAGCAAAGCAAAGCAAGGAAAAGCGAGGAACAGCAAAACAAACACAAACAACAAGTAGCAAATCCAAACAACATATCTAAAAAGCACAACAAATTCCCGAAAAGATGGCCCTTAATTAAAGTAGGGAGACTTCAAAGACCTCTCAATCCCCCTGGAAGAAGGAACTTGTTGAGCCCCTTGACTGCTTGTCAGGTGCTCATGAATTCTCTGCGCCGTCTCGGAGTAACGTCGACTCTTGATTCTTAACCCCCGCCATATGGAGATGGAGACACATTCTGGTAGACTAGGGAGGGCTAAGTAGTATTACAGTATACTATACACTTATAAATTATGATCTGTTTTAATTCGTCACCAGTGACACCTCCAGAGAAGGAGAACCCCCGTCACGCCGGACGGTGGCACCGGGAGTGGCACCGGCCTTTCGGCCCCTCTCGGCCCTTTTTTGGGCAATGCCGAAGCGAACATGACCGTTGCAGGTGCATGGCCTCCACGAAAGCATGGCACGTTTTGCAGGGAGTGTCTCTACCGACCCTCCTGGCCAGGTGTTTCCTGGTGACAAGTCCGGTGCCCAGAAACCTGTTAGGATCTTCAAACAGCCTGGCCAGGAGGGTGTTGGTAGAGATTCCTCAAATTCTCCTCAAAGCAGATCACCAAATCCGCCCCGCGGAGCCGCGCTCTCCGATCCGGCCTCCCGCTCCGCCCAGCTGCCGGGCGTCACTGCGAGGATCTGGACGGGAGACCCGAGCTTCGGTTCCGGAGCTTCGGCTCTGAAGATGTGGAAGCCGGTCTTCCACCCCCAAAAAACATCATCTGAAGCACACAACCACACGTCGGACCTGGAATTGGGCCTGGAGATGTGACCCCCTATATATGCTCTGGGATCTCGGACGGTGACAGGCCAGGTCCTGGCTTCATCGGTCTTGAATCAATTTATTCCAATGGCACGGGATGCTCATTTGGCTTTTCCCCATAACCCCATAACCCCTGAGTAGAACTACTCACCAAGAAATGGACATGGAACACGGGATGCTTCGCCTTGTTCATCCTGGGTCCGGTCCGGAGATCGTCGCTTTTTCCGAAGGCAGGGAACTGGTGGCGAACAAGACTTACCGGATCTGATAGGTCCTGATACTTGGGGATCAAGCCACTGGATCTGATTCGTCCCACAACATTCCAGTTGATCTTGGCATGCTAGTGATAGTGGGTATATCCTAGGTCGTGAATCCCTATAGTTCGTACAAATCAAATCCACTGCAATAAAGAACAGTGCTGCAACCACATCGCAAGTTCTATGCGATTGCACAATCTTAGATTAGAAGTTACTTAGACCCGAAATATCTGTTTGTTTACGTATTACGGATTGTCTCTGGAGACACTGCTCCGGAACCGCAAGCAGAACAAACAGGATTGATGGACTTCCAATCAGGAGCTGATACGATTTCTACAGGACCGAGCACAGTGGTGAAATGGTGACCAAATGTGACGGGTATCGAAGAGGGTGCACACTGGAGGTGGAAAACTAATACTGACCTCAATTTTTGTCAAATTAATGTTCGTAGAAAAAACAACATCATCAAATGAACTTAACATACAAACATAAACACATGTAGCTCAGCAGCTCTAAGGAAACCTCGGCAAAAGCAGGAGATCCAACGTTTCCCCCCCCTGCCGCGGAAGACACATGCCTGCACTCGCTCGTGTGGTGGCTCCCGAGCGGGTCGAATACCCATCTTGGTCACCTCCTTCCTGGGCAAAGGCTCGCACCACACAGGGTGTTCCAAGTGCTTGTGGTACTGAGAGGTGTTTGGAGGGCGTTCCAGGTGTTGTTGGTCACCTGCAGTTATAGGAAACTTTCTGATAAGATAGTGATAGAACTCCCAAGTATAGAGTTCATGGTAGATCTCCCGAGTTTGGTAGCGCCTGGTAGAAAAGAAAACACGAAACAATCTGACATTCACCCAGTCATGCAATGTGTTGAAAACGGTTTTTCAATATTTGCACCTGGATTTGACCACCTTTTGGCAACGAATCATAAACAGGACAAGGGCCTGGCACGTGGGGTCTGGTTTCCATCTTTTGCGGCTAAGATTCCTTGGGTTTGCTGGGAAGTTAGATAACTATCACAAAACAACTCCAAACCAGCACCACCCAAAATTTGGTTTATTCCCCAGGCCCAGATAACTGCAAGCTATAGGGGCTCTCATTTCTCAATGGTGTGGCTCTGGATCGGCGTTTCGTTTTGCCGGTGCTGGTGCTGGATCGGCGTTTTTTTCGCGCGTGCTGGTTCTGGATCGATTTTTTCTAGGGGTTTGCTGGTGCAGGTGGTGCTGGGACCCAGCGGAGATATAGGTCGATCAGGAGCCCATCCGGGTAACAGATGTTGATCCCATCCATTATTCCACACATGGATGGTCTGGGATCGCCCGCCCTTCCCATCCGTCGATCCATCCTCATCCGTCCTTCTGTCTGTCATCCGTGTCAGACTGACCTGACCGAGCAACGAGGCCCAAATGCGGTAGATGGGCCCAAGCTCCTGCGACCCACGTGGGGTGACGAATGCGCAACGAGGTGCGCGACCGGGTGCGTGAGAACCGGCGGTTCGGTTTCGGCTCGTGTCGGAGGTGGATCACTTGTGACCGGATCACCCGAAGACTAACAGGAAATGTCTACATAAGACCATGGAACGAACAGAGTCAGTGATGTGATGAATTTGACCTCCAAGGGCTACAGCAAATCGCTTGAGAGGTCCTGGTTCGCACTGCGGAACAATCAACCATGCTGCCAAAAGAAAAACCAGGACACGACGATGCGACAGCTCTGTGGGTAATGGTTATTGGATGAGTTTGTGTGTGTGTGTCCCTTCGCTTCTCAGCCAGTTCCGTCCTCCCTTTTTGCAATGTATATTTTATACATAATATGTGTATTATTATATATATATCTATACTGTATATATCAAATATTTATTACTATCATTTATGTACCCAAAAGCAAAAATCGCCCATCCACGCTTCAGCAGGTTCCGTCAAGCACCTGCGGAGGGTTCTCCGTAAAGAACGGTTGTCAACTTCAACTGTCCAATTATCGTCATTATCATCATAGACATCACACTCAGCAACATCATGAACATTTATTTATTTATTTAATCATCTCCTCCTCATCATCATCATCACAATCATCATCGCCGTCATCACCATCATCTTCGAGTGCACAGATGAAGGTGATGCACCTGCTACAACATACCAACATAGGTGCAGGTGTTTGGATACAGGTGTTGATATACAGGTATTGATATACAGGAGTTAAGATGTACAGGTGTTGAGCCACAGGTGCACCTAAACAAAGTTCATCTACACAACTACAATGTCGATGTCTTTATAGTGTTTCTAATATACTCTAGGCGGCGGGGTGGCCCGGCCAACGCTCACGAAACGCGACCCTCTGCGGAGATTGATCGTGTGCGTCGGATGCGCGAAACTGCGGTAATATGCGACTGGTCACGTTCCTTGGTGATTGCGGAGATCGTGCGCGTCGAGTGCTCAAACCTGAGGTGAAACGCAGATTTTGTCTGGTCGTCAAGCGCTCAAAGCTGAGGTGAAAATTAAAATTTGTTGGGAACTTGCAACTTGGCACGCAGTGCAAATGTAGTACTGTCACCTGAGAGCTGGTATACCTTAAATACAAAAGTACGGGAAGCGGCTTGGGGGAGCTGTGGCACGAGAACTGGCAACTTGGCACGTGCAAATGTAGCAGCGGAAGCAGTTTCGGGGAGCTGTGGCCTCCTATGATGTCTGTGCCTGTGTCCAGGGTGGTGCCTTTGTGTACGAGAGGTTGTCTCCTTCCACTATGAGGCACGCAGGTCCTCGACGCGTAACAGATGGTGCTCTGCTCCCTTCTTGAGGAGGAAGGTCTGATGAGTCTCCCCTCAAACATATGCCATACTGTCAGCAATTCGTATGCCTAGAGTCATCTCCTGACCCCGAGAACGCGCTCTCCCGGGCGATGGGCCATGATGGCTATAGTGACTCTCTGCCCTCCCGTCAGATAAGGACCGGCCCCTTGACCCCAACGATTTCAGTGCAGGTGATAACTTGGTCGAAGAAGACCAAAGACCATGGGACAACAGTCGAACAACAGGTCGCCCGGTTTTTTCCCCACCGGAGTCCTTGGATTCGTCAAAGTCCTGCGAAGTCTGGACGAGTCGGGGACTTTCAGTTCGTCCTTTGGGGTGTCCAAGAGGCCTAAAATTGGGGGAACCAGGGACCGACCCGCCGCCGGACGGTCGCTCGTGGTGGCGGTTGCGGTTGGGAGTCCTCGAAGCCAAGGAACAATTCACCGCGCAGTGGAAGTGTGAGTGGTGGAAAATGGTGGAAAATGGAACATGGTGCACTCAAAGAAAGTGCAAGGTGTCTTCCACGTCCATGCGGGAGCACAAGAGAACCGAAGCCCAACTAAACTTCAAGCGCCGTAGAGATCTTTTCGTTGCCGGTTTTCATGAATGAATTATGTGACCTGTGTATGGCAAACAACATACATTGGGAACACCCAGTAGCTGATGATGATACTCTCTCATGTGTTCACTTAGTAGTCAGTAGTTTGTCATGATCATAAATGCCAGAAGCAAGTGCCCGTGGCATTTGCATATATATATATATATAGAGTCTATATAGTTAGTGACCATCCCGGCCAATACATTGTGAGCCAAAAAAAGACATGGACCCGATCTTCGTCTCCTGGACCATCGGTATCACGGTATCCCATATATAAATAGACATGTGATCACCATGCCACATGTCTAACGGGTTCTTGACGGCTCGCCAAAGAAGAAACGAAAAAACAAAAAAAAACTCCAGAAGATCCAACAGTTCGTGACACCTTCACTTCGTGATCCCTTCAGTTCGGTCGACTGTCCCTGTCTCTGTTCGTCCCACCGGAGGAGTCTCAGTCGACGCTCAACGCTCGCCCTGGCCGCCTGGGCCTGGACCTCCACCCGCCGCAGCTTGAGCACCAAAGGCCGTGCGGTCCAGGAGCTCCAAGCGGCGGAGGGTCTCAGCCGAAGCCGAGGGTCTCGCCGGGCCGGGCCGGCCAGTCTCAGGTACCAAGGCCCCCAGGCCAGGGGTGTCCAACGCTCCGATTATGAGGTGTTCATGAAAACCACCCCCGGCATCGGGGCCCTGGTTATATATAGTTCGTTTTGCCCAGGTAACTAAGGAACTACAAGTATGTCAACTCAAACCCAGTGCGGTCGGTCATTCAGAATCACATGGATATTGCCTGCATCCCTTGTGATGTCAACAGTTTCTCGACCCCTTCAAACCTTTATGCGCTGAAACGCTGAAGAGATGCGACCGAAACTCTCGCAACAAGTCCTCTGCAAAAAACCTCGCATTTCATGCTGCAAGACATGAAGCAGCATGAAATGAACATGAAATGGTTCACAGTACACAAGAGTTGGTCTTCAACATCGGAGACTGCTAAGCCCTGCTTTGACGGGTCAACACCTGCCCCACTTGTAGCCTAGACCGATCACGCGGCAGTCAACGGAAATGGGGGACCGTCTGGATGCGCATCCTAAACCTGCCGACCCACCAAGTTTTACCCTCAAACACTCTGAACCCTGAAACTGTCCTGAACCTGCTCACCCTGAACCTTCAAACTCTCTGGAGCAACTTGGATTTGCTGTCCAGGAAGCCGGGAAGAACTAAATGAATTCTCCAGAAACTAGATTTACCTCGTTCGGGAAAATCACGAGGATCAGCAAAACCAGGTGCAACCTCTCCATGGTGGGCATCTCTCAGCCTTTAAGGCCCAACACTTCGGGTCGATTCCGCGCTGATGACGTACGGTCTGGAACATAGGAGGGGGCCTTTTTTTGGCAAACGGTCATTAAACGGTCATTGTCTGCCCAATCTCCAGGACCTGTAATCAGATGTTACAACTATATGCTTATAATTGTTGCCCAAACCTGAACCCTTTGGAGTTGCAAGTATTCCCAGCCTGCATCAACATTCCGAATCTTCCCCGAGTCGGCCACCGTTTGGGTTTTTGAAGGACATCATGTATAGCCGGAATTAAAAATAGGCCTCCTCATTTGATCCCAATGTGTTTGATAGTTTCATTCATGAGGTTGGGCCTCGGACATCAATTTTATCTCTCTCACGCACCCCTTGCTGGTGGTCCAAGTCGCTTTATGGACACCTGAGGCGATTCACTCAACGTGCCACGAAGCACGACGCGCGCGTTTTTGGAGTGCTGGGCAGTTGACCACCCCCGCTCTTTACTTTTTGTGCGTATATATACCAGGGCCCCCGGTGCCAGGGGTGGTTTCATGGACACCTCATAACTACCTCTAAGGAGCTATTGTGTTGGACACCCAGCACCCTACAAAAAGGTGGCCCTGGTATATACGTAGCAAGTCACCACACTCCCAAAAACTGCCCTCCCAGTCTTTGATCCTTGAGGACCTCTTCTTCTTTGTCCGTTTTCCGAACTGCGGAAGTTGTAACCGACACCGCGCGCGCAGCGAAGCCGAAGGATGCAGCTTCCAAAGAAAACCCATTTTCAACTTCTCCATCTCTCACCTCCCAGTTTGGGTGGTTATTGCATGGAAAATAGTCAGGGGAGTCTATTTCGTGCGACTTGCGGACAGTCCATGCCACAGCCCGCTGAACCGGGCAGGTCATGCGTCAAGCTGAGGGTAGTCTAGAAACCGAACCCATCCGGTGACCGCTTCCAGGCAGTCTTTGACCAAACCAACGGGATCAAGTTGCACGGTGAAGAACCTCCAAAGTCTATAGATGCTACATGATATCAAACCTGTAGCCCAGTCTTGATCAAACCATGCAGACCACACCGTGACCCTCGTCTTTCCCAAGAAGAACACCTTTCGCGCCACGCTCCGCAGGGCGCCACGCTCGCCACGCGCCACGCTCATTCGCAGCGCATCGACGTATACCGGGCCTTGCCTTCTCTCCGCCCAACTCCAAGATCTCATCACCTGCAGGGCAGCACTTCTCGTGCTGCGACGAGGGTGTTTTTGTTATTGTTTTTTTTCGACGGAAAGTGGAGTGACCCGGATCCGTGGAGGTTGTTTCCTACGAGTATAGGACCTTATACTTATACTTCAACTTATATATAACCAACAATTTCTGGTCGTTTTCGACGTGACCGTATTTTGGGCCGAGGTATGGTTTCTCTATGAACCAGGACCTTCCGAAGTCTCCAGTCTCGACGACCAAAGGGTCTCTCAAAGGGTCACAAAGAATGTCGTCTTTTTGCCGGGACAATCTCAGAGGTAGGCTACACAGGAGGTGACAGGTGGGTTTTTGACTGGTCTCTCAAGTGCTTGTCATGACCAACTTGAATGGAGCAGGATTCTGAATTGAGCGGTGTCAAAAACCATCCGGAACTTTTATTAAGAGTATACAAACCTTTCGCCAATCCCTTCGCAACGCTTTGGCGGCTGCATGCTTTGCTTTCGCCGACCCACTTCACCCAACAACCTCTTTCGCTAACCCTTTCGCCGAGTTTCTGTTACTTGCGTCTAAGAAAAGTATCAGCAAAGGGGAATCATTCCTAATCTGCAACCACTGCTTTCGCCACATCTGCGCGAACCTTTCACCAACCTTTCGCCTGGTTATCAAGAGAGTTTGGATGACATGCGTTGTACTGAAAACATCTGAACACAACACCAAAGACTAAGACCAACGTTGGACTTGTGACAGAACGTAGATGATGCCATGCATGTGCATGTACTCTATTAAAATGTATTAGATATCCTGGAATCCTATGCACGACATGAAAATTAGTTGTTTGTCTGCATATGTCTGAATGAACTTTTACAACATGCTCAAAAGCTCCGTTAAACCTGTACTCAGCATGCCCGTGCGTTTATAGGCCACGTTTTGGTTGGCGTCCGATCGATCGTTTGCGCTGGTCGTCTCGGTTCTGGCCGTGAATGGCCCTAGGGATCCACATCACACCTTGTCAGGTTCGGTAGGGCCCTGGGCCCAATAGTCGCTCACTGTACCGAAGGTGTGTGGATCCGGGATCATGTCATTCTCTTGTCATGATCCGGCCGTTTCTCCCCCACCTGGCAGCACCCCATGCTCTTCTGCCCAGCCACCCCTGGTGCCGTGCCGTTGCAACAGAACACCGGTGACCCCGAAACGAGTTCGCGGGAACAGAAGAAGTTGGTCGAGGTCTGTCGAGGTGGGGTGTTTTGGATCAGTTCGGCCAATACCGGAGTCAAGAAAACACCTGGAACAGATTGGAACCACATGTCTTCCCATGACTTCCATGGTTATTCTGTTTTTCTTCTGAAAAATCACCGACCTTTTGGTGTTTCGTCGTCCGAAGGGGTGCACAGCTGCGAGGATCTGAACTGACTCCGAAGCCGCTTCCCTGAACAGAACGGCGCCAAATTTAAACCAAACCATGCACAAACCTGTTTGAATGGGTCACTGTTATTCACTTTTCCCATGCCGGACCTTGTCCAGATCAATCTTGCTACTCACCGCTTTTTCTTCTACAGCCCAAAGCCTACTTGGGGCGGCGGACCTGGCCGAAGGCCATTACCATCTGCGCTGTCGCCTTCGTGAATGGCTCTTCTTGAGGTTCTTCACTATATATAGCACCTTTATCAACCACTTCTTCCAAACTCTTCTGCAAGTCTTTCTGTACAGCTGGAAATTGTTTTTGTTGACTTCCTTTGCATGTCTCTCTGCTGCCATCTTAATGACATGCCCAACTCGCTTCGACGTGGACGTCGCCGTCAGCAGGCTTCTGGTGGTCTGGCCGCCCCGTTGCGGCTCCTCACCGCGCTAAGAACTCTGCCTCTTCGTTCGCCAAGTCGCGCGTAACGCTATAGCTCGTCTTCTGTCGCAAGGACTTCCATATGGTCCCCCTCCTACAATAACCCATGTGAACAGGCCGTATACGTCACGCAAAATGATGATGCCTTTCTTTCCTGCTGCTTTTGCCAATTTGCAATAAATCGACCCACATACTGTGCCAATGATCGAGAAGCTGACCTTGCAGTTTGGAGAAGGCGAAGGAGCAGAGCTCCTTGTCGGAGTAGTGGTGGAGCGAGCGTTGCCATGCACAAAAGGTCCACAAACCTTCCTGTAATCACGGGCATCCGCTGCCTTCGTCTTCTTCTTTGGTGGTACTCGATCATATATTTTAGCACATAAGGAAAGCGAAGACTCACACTTTTTCACCGGAGGCTGTGTTCCTTGTCTTGTCGGCCCCAAAACAACAGAACGACAGGTCGTTAGATTCGCTCACCAAAAAGGAAGGCTTCACTTCCAGTGTTTACACCGTGCAACCGTGCAAACTCCCAATCAGTCTCAAGATATCTGGAGGTTCAGGTGAAAATCGAGTTCCGCCACCAATGGCCAGCGTGAACAAAGCGCGCCCATGTGAACGTGGGCCTCGTCACTGCTGCGACCGTCACGGGCGCTGCGTCTGTGATTGTGAAACCTGGCACAAGCGCAGCCACATCAGCTAAAAAACACTCCATGTATACATGCAGTCTGGAGGCCATTGCTATTAGGATGGAGGCCATCGCTACTAGGTTGGAGGGCATCGAGTGTCTGGGTATCGGACATTACTCGAAGTGTGCACAATATATAGACCCTGATACAGAGACCCCAAACCATCGCTAGCTTAAGATGTTTAGATGGCGTCACAGCAAGGTGCCCAAGATCTTACTTACCACCTGGTCCTTCAAAACAGCATCGTTGCGGTGTACCCCCCGTGGAACTGCGCCGCAAGAAAAACGCCGCGCTGAGCCTTCGGGGAGTGTTCCGTCAAAGGAACTCGGCGCTCCTTCGGTTGGAACGACACTGATGGCATTTCTGGGGGATTCGGTACAAGTCCAGTCTGACCTAGCAAAACTGCTCTTTTACCTCCTTGAGTAGTCTTTTTGTATGACAAACTCTTGTAAAATGAGGTCATTAACCTGTAGGAATTGGTCAGGGAAAAGGGTTCACAGTATGGCAAGGGTAATTCACATGGTTCTCACATGGTTCCTGGATCCACGGGTGATTACTGAGGCTTTTGCATGTCCACGAATGAGCTTCAACCGCAGCAAGACCTGAAAATGACAGCTTGAAGAACCACAAATAACACACACCATGACCTTATAAGGGGCTTCTGTTGATAGCCCCTTAGATGTTAAGGAGTCTCCATTAACCACCCTTTGTGGGTCCTGGTACAACGGTCAACAAGTTGCTGTCATTTCCCCGATTTCTCCTGGTCTGGTCGCCCAAAACTGCTGTTCAAGGACCCTGAACCTCGAACGTTGGAAACACCTAGAACCTGAGTGACCGCTGTTCGTCGGAAACACCAAAAACTCTTATCCGCCTCTTCGTGACAACACTAATAAGTCACATGCCGCACAGTACAACAGGGCTCCCGAAAAAAAAAGGCGGTTCACCTTGAAAAGGGTTGAGGAATTTGCGGTTCGAACGGACCCGTGCAGGTTTGGCGTCACCCATCCCGCCCATCCCCACCGATCAGGATCCGGTGATCCACCCGCCGCCGTGGGACTGCAGCCATGAAGCATGCACCCTATTTTTGGGGCGAAAAAAGAAACCATGAGAAGCTTGCGGTCAATCAGTTCATATCAGTTCATGAGGTTAAAACGAGGTCCTGCTCCCACGGGTGATAGTGTCCTGGGACTTTTCCGCAGCAAAGGTTGAACAACAAATGCAAACTCTACTTGCTATACATCCTGACCACCAAGACCCCTTATAGATTGTGTCTATTTGTGTCTATCCTATTACCAGTAACAGTGGATGATGATCGTCAGAATCGTCAGTCAAGGGCCTTTCTATAAAATAGTGACGCTAATGTACATGTTCTTGTGCAACCCGCCTGTTATAGGTAATGGGACAAACCAAGACCCCTACAGACTCCGGCCGTAAACTCCGGCCGAAGTCACCCGTCCGTCCGCCGCGGCCTGCTGTCTCTAACGTCAGGCTGTAGGTGCCCTGCGCGCGGGGCACGGAAGCACAGGAGTGGAGGGAGCACCCCGCTTGAAGCTTTGCTTCTATACATTCTTTGAGATAAAGCAGCATGCGTTGTCCCCAGGAAAGCCACAAAGCCTTGATGCAAAGGTTGCATCACGCACATCTGGTGCGCTAGCTAAGCTCTGGAACTCGTGCTCAGTGAAGAATTACCATTTGTCATGTCCATCGTGTCTTACTGTAAAGCCCACAGCGACGAAAAAAACAACCAAAAAACACCCGGCGCCCAGCAGCGCCGATGGCAGCTATTTGGATTCTTGTTCACCTTCTTCTTCACCATGTGCTGCATAAGTCGCATCCAAGTATCGCCGGTGCTGCGGAAGTGGCAGGAGGTTTCACGTTTCACTCCGCAAAAGGGTTCCACGCTTGCCAATCTTTGTTGTTCTTAACCTTGGCCACGTAGACCACCCATCCTCTGGGCATGCCGTTGCCCCATGAATAAAGGAAGAAGAAAGCCGAGGAGCTGGCGGTCATTGTCTGCTCGTGGTCACTGAGCCAAGGTGGCTGGCGACCTGCTGGCGACCTACAGGGCGCAGGCAACGACCCTGCATGTTCGCACACCGGGGCGGCTCCTCCAAGTGAAGGTTATCCTGCAAGGTCCGCCCCAAATGGCGGTCTGAAAGGATTCCAGTTCCGACGACGTCCAACATGCCCACATTGACCGTTGAACACCCAGAAGAGGCACGGGCGATGGAGATATAGGAAAACAACGGAAAACAAACTATCGGAGTGAACCAAAAGTATTGCACAATAATAATGGATTAGACATAGGAGCACTTTTTTCTTTAAACAGCATTGGGCGTATGATCAGAAAAACTAATGTCAACGTCGTATTAATCAACGGGGGCCCCCCCCCCTAGAAGGTCAACAAGGTCAACAAGGGAGGTTTTGGAGATCACATCCCCCTAATAGTGGGATGACCTGATGATGACAGGAGGAGGAGATGAGATGGGATGGAATGATGAGATCCATGAGAGCCCAAATACTAATTCCCACATATATATATTGAAGTAATTATACTTTTCCTGGGGGGACAGGGGGTTGACTAATAGGGGGGGGGTTCAGCCAAGCAAAATTTTTATTAGAGGGTGGTGACTGTGGAAATTAGTAGTTCAAATTAGTTTATTATTGGGGCCTGAACCCTGGGTAGACTAATAGGGGGGGTTGGTTAATACGATGTTGACATTACCCTTTTGAGGGCTTTGGATGCATTGAACAAATACTCAGGGTGGTATGCTGAACAGTGGTGTTTGGCTTGCCCTGTACGTACATGTTGCAGGTTGTTTGCTTGCCCACATAAAACATATTGAGTGCATATCCTGCACTGGAAAGTTACTGTGATTTCGACGGACTGGAAAAGCTTGCGGTTAAGACTTTGAGACCTCCGCAGGTTTGTGGACGGCATTGTTCGTCATGATGCTTTTGGCTCATATTTTGCCGGTAAAAGACCAATGTTTGTGGCATGGTGCTGGACAATATCTGTTGTCATGTCACCTTTTGTGTCAACATGACAAACTATTTAAAGACATGACCAACTAGGTCGACCACTGCATGGGAGAGCCAGCATGCGCCGCTTGTTCCTAGCTTCGTTCTTGGGAAACAGATGGGTACGGTGAGAACGCACAACGTGACGACATTCCGCACAAAACCGGCCGAACAATGCCGGACACTTGCAGCCACGGACACTTCTGCCCCCGGTTTTTTGCCTTGGGGAAATGGTTTGAGCATACTTTGCAATATTTGGAGACGCTTTTCCACCCATTTGGCTTGTGAAGGGTGTTTATATCTGTGGCATTTGAAACTGCCACTCATTTCTGGGCGCCGGTGCCTGAATAAGTTATTTTTGTTTTTTCAAATCTGTCGACAACTTCCCTCGGGGAGTTCGTCATGCGAACAAGGTGCCGAAGATGTCTGTCTTCTCCATGAGTCTCCATCATTTGCAGAGCTGAACATCACATGGTGAGGCGAAGAAGGAGGGGTTACCATCAGGGTTCTTGCGGCCGAACGTTTCATTGCAACATGCATGGCGACATGGCTAAGCATGACCGACCATGGCCATGTGCTTTTGGGTACTAAAGAATTCCTTTTCTTGGCCAAGATCACCTTCTTGAATACGTATGGGCATCATTTGGGGTTTCCAGGTTGGTATTGCTGCGCAAATCCGTTCTTACAGGTGCCGCGCTGCGCGTATCCCGCTCTGCTCTGCTACGAGAAAGCACGGCTCACAGCAGGTCTTCCAGGGCGACGCCGTGTTCGCCGGCGACGTTTGAGGGCTCCGTTTGGCCCGCCCCGGCCGCTTTCGGTTCGATGGGACGGCCGGGTGGCCAGGGCAGTCCAACCACCGGATATGGGCCAGCCCTAGGCCTTAGGGTAAGATCTCCAGTCAAATCAGGTCCTTGCCTGCCCTGTATAGGGCAGGTTTCAAAGGTTCTGCCAAGGTTCTGCGGTTACGTACCAAAACCACGTCTCCCGCGTCGAGCGAGGTCTCAGCATCCGCAAGGCCTCGAGCACCATGGCCTCACTGGAGGGATCTCACCTTGGATAGATCGGACGTCACGGGTTCCCAGCGTGAGCTGAACGGTCGAATCCATGGGATGTGGATGTGCTTCTTATGGATGTGAGACCCCGCAACCAATGGGCCTAGGCGGCCTAGGTCCTACGGTATATCGGTATATAAGGTTTATGCTCCTTCTTCCAGCAGGTCGAAGTGGAAGGTCTCCCTTATTTTGTTACACACATTAATTATAGAATCATGTAGTACGATGAATAAACACCTCCAAACATGGATGATATCATCTGGATATCTGAAAACACCTGATTCATGTGTCGACTCGGCTGTCGCCTCTAGTCATCTCTAGTCACGTGAACCGTGTCCAAAAGTGAAACGTGTTGTATCGCCGCCAAAAGGTCGACACCTCAAAAAGAAGGAGCAGCCTCTAGCAGGGGGGGTCGAAGTTCCTGAGAGTTCCTTCTAGCACACCGTAAAGTAGCAAGTCCATGAAAGCACATGTGTAGTAGGGAGACCCCTGGCCCTCAATAGACTGGCTCTTCTTCCAGGAGGTCCCCTAAAAGGTCTCCCTCAAAAGAAAACTAGATTGAGAGCAGCTGATCTTCCAGTCTACCCGGGCCGACACAACACCTCAGCACCTTCGGTGCGGGCGGATTTTATCCTGGATTGAGAGTAGATGGCACAAGTTACCCGCAAGTTTGATTCCATCTGTCTGACGACATCTTGATCTCACGTGTTGACATCGAACCTCTCCAAACACACTGTGATACGCACCACATCACTTCACTCATTCCCGGGTGTCATCCACTGCCACCCAACCTCAGCTTCGGTACGACTGGGCCCCAGGAAGCATAGGCGCCGTCCACAAAACCCAAACGCTCCATGTATGCCATAGTCTGCCAGGCCATGCCGATCAGTTGGGGTGGTGCCAGGGGGGTCAGGTCTCATGTGTCGTGTATGGGAACAACATCGTCTTCATGCTCCTCATCCGCTTCGGTCTCCACCCACTCACTCGGACTCCCCACGAGTGCTGCTCCCGCGGTGGGACATGGGGCGCGCCAAGGCCAAGGCCGAAAGGGAGATGGAGAGAGATGGGCGGTTTTCTTCCTGTCCTTGGGGGGGGTGGCGGGGTGATGTGAAAGGAAACCACACCAATCCGAATGAAGAGCTTCGAAGTTCGACAAGAGGGGTGAGAATAGCATGTCTTCGTTAACAGTGTTCCTTCCTCAGGGTGAGAATGACAACATCCAATCGAACTGCGGGATCTTCCTGCACTGTACTGTCCAAAACAGCTATACTGACTGTGCTCTTGAAAGGCTTTCGGGCAGTCTCGCTCAGATTCTCAACAGCTAGTTCACCTATACTGTGTCCCTTGAGAGGCTTTGCCGGCTTTCCATTGCCTTTTTGGAAGTCGGGTTAGCGAAAACTTCACAAGCTCGCACCTGTATACAGTATACATGTCTGACAAAGACGAGGTTAGGATCCTCAAGAAATGCAGCGGACCATGTGGGCCTCTGCGCATTGAGATCATCGCCCGGGCGATGTAAGCGGACGGTCGGCGCGAAGAAAAATACCTTGTCCCAGGTTCAAGAACCGGTGGAGGCCTCCAACAACCAGAAAAACCATGTCACTGCCTGTAAGAACTCTCTCCACTTCTTCTTGTGCTGATGGAACATGAACTCCACATCCAGCGAGACAAAACATGTTGTTTTCTACGAACTACGGGTTTTAGCTTTGAAACACCTTCCGGCGATGTGCCACTTCTTAGCCATCAAAGGAGCGCATGTTGGGATGCTTGGGATGGGGGACCCAGCTACCAAGACCTCCAAGCAGCACATCCCAGCACACCGATGCCAGAAACCACCCGGCACCCGGCTGGTCGTTCGGATCACCGGGTGGTCTAGTTCGGTCCAAAGTGGTTCCACACCACTTTGGTGGTTCCGACTTCGAACGACATCTCACTTTCTTTGAGTGCTGCAGTTTTCAGTTTCGAATATGACTGTTTCTCTCTCTTCTCTCTCTATGGTTCGAACCTTTAAGAGTACAAAACAAAGGAAACAATCCCAGGGATGTCCAGGGGTCACGTTCGACCGGGGTGGTGTTTAGTCCCATCCAGGGGCTGTGGATCATGAGCACCCCGACTTCCTCCAATAAACACTCCTTTTGTGACTCATTTGCCACAGAACCCGTGGAGCTTTAAACCAAAAGACTCGGGATGCCATAGGTCCGCCGAGTAGCGGCGAGGCGTTCCCCATTCTCCATTCTCCCAACACATCAAGACGGTGGGTATTGATCGCTTTGGTGCCTACCTTGCAACATCTTAGCAACATCTTATAAGATATCCCCATGGCCAGGACATGGATTGAAAACGATCATGTTTGATACTATGTTACTATTACTATGTGTGATCTATTGGAGTTTCACCGACTAAGGAACTATCAACACATCCGGAGGGACCAAAAGGAGGTAGAGCTTGCGAGTGCATGTATATAATATTTGCCTCCCTCTTCAATAACACCATTCTTTTTCAAAATCACATCCGTGTTGTTCTTTGCGTTTCTTTTCAGGCACGCATGCGGCGCATGCACCCCCGGTGTCCGGTGTCGGTCTCCTCGTTCTTTTGTTCGTGACAGTCCGGGCTCGACGAGAGCCGTCCAAGGTCGATGGTCATGTAGGCCGACTCGGCCGATGGAAAGGGCAAGCACCTCCGTCAGGCCTGGGGTAAACGGGTTTACCTCTGAAGAGGCCTGGGGCGTTCACATGACATTCATCCAGAGTCTACATTGTCTACATGACCTCGAACACCCCAGGAGTCTCGTAAGACACCCCAACCCTATTTTCGCAGGCCTCCGCGACGAAGGTAGGAAGTCTTCCTCTAAATTGCTCTCTTTGGAACAAGGTCGGAAGTCTTCCCCCGTTCGAGATCCTGTGGAAGGTTCGGTTCAGAGGCCCTCCAGTCCCAGCCAGGCCTAGGGGATCTCCCTATTAAGATAGACACAAAGAACCCAAGGGGTGTCCAATAAGAGCTCCTTATGCTCCTTAGAGGTTATGAGGTGTCCATTAACCACCCCAAACCGGAGGCCCTGGCAGGAGTCACAAAGGGGTGCCCTTAGTCCCATCCAGTGAGTGGATAATGGCCACCAAGAAACACCCCTTTGTGACTCCTGACTCTTTTCACTTGGCTGGCTCCGTGGTGAAGCTTCGTAGGCTCAGCCTAGGAGTACAGTAGTCTGGTACCAGCACCACCCAAATGGTGCTTGTTGGATGGTAAACAAATATAACAAATGAATACACATGATAACAACTAATAGCATGGGGGGATCCGCCAAAAATAACAAACATTGAAACAAACAAACAAAAAAAACAGAACGCTCACTCACCCAGCGCGGAAGGGCCTTGGGTGGTACTGGTGGTCTACACATTTCACCCATCTGTTTCGGGCTAAAACGGCTGCCGCTGCGGGACACCCCGACCGCCCGTCCTAGCTACCGCCTGGTCGAAGGCGGTGTCGCGCGCCTGCAGGGACAAAGCGAACATTAAGGGAACAAATGGAAACCAATAATACTAGTAGAGGAGCCCCTCGTAGCGTCCTTGCTCCTAGTAGCGATGCCAGGAGCCCCTAGTAGCTTCTTGTTCCTAGTAGATCTAGCAGTCAGGGCAGGAGCCCCTAGTAGCATCCTTAATCACTTGTTTTGAGCTGAGGCCAACAAACCGGCGATGAAGCATCTATTTTCAGGTGGGTGTACCCAGATCTCTCTGAGCGTTACTGGGGTCTATCAAGAGTCAAACCCCTGGTCAACAAAGAAGGACACAGTTTACAGGCCACACAAAGACTGGGGTATATGAGCCCCAGTAGGCCTAGCCCTGAAATAACATACACCTACACTCGACTGTAGTATTTGGACACATGAACTTTCGAAAAAAATATCAGAATCCGTGGATCTATCTACCATGATCCAGCGAGCATGTCAAACACTTGTGGATCAAAGCAGCCAACGAAACGAGCGTGAACGAGAGTGAAAGAACGCTTTGTTTTTTCCACCTTTCAATCTTCTAGCAGTACAACGACGACCCAGTTTAGCTGTGGCACGTTTACTACTTAAATTGCATCCTGTTCCATCTGCATATTTACTTGCCCGGACGAAAATACATGTGGATACATTCCTACCCAAACCACTCGTGAACCAAGTGGGGAAGTCGAGTGAAACGGAAAGAGAAAGGATCGTGAAAAAGGAAGCGCACTTGCACTAAGGCAGATTCATTCGCACGCTTGAAACCAAATTTGCTCTAGGGTATTAAAGGCTGAACACATATGTTTGGTTACTTACGCCGAATGATCCTGCTCAAACAATTTTAGTGAATCCATCCAGACCCTTTCGGAGAGATCACAGGTCGGGCCTTCACGAAGATGGAGTAACCATCCGCGCTGGCATGGGCTTGTTGCTGACAAACCTGAAACATGCCGACACATTCGGATAATGCCACATTCGGGGGGTTCAACTGAATCTTCATGTTTTGAACTTTACAAGGATTGTGTCAGATGCAGGTTCACAAATAAAAGGTTCAAGTAAAATAACAAATCCGACAGGAGAACACTTCAAACTGATGGATGTATGTCATCTAACCTTTAGATTTCACCCTGGCCATCTCCACCAAAGGGAGGGGGGGTGGTTTCATACATTTTTGCGAATGTATGCAAAGGGGGGGACAGGTGTGGAAAAAAACAAAGTTCGAACACGGGGGGTTGAACATAAGAGAACGTGTGTTTCAATACAATATATACATGTGTTTTTCCGTTGCTGTTTCTGGAAACGCTGTTTTCGTGATTTGTGTGGAAGGGAGGGGGTGGCCCAAGACCTGACTGTATGCACGGAGGGGGCGCACTCACCTAATTATGCACATCTACATGTTTGGTGCCTTTGCTGTTTGCTGCCATTGTATGAACAAAATCTCACAAAATCCTTCGAGCCGGCTGAAAGGCTTTAGAGGCTGTGGATATCTGCGGATTGTAGAACCCGTTGGTTGAAACAATTATAGGACCGGATAACCCCACATGCTAACAACTTCACCAGTTGGGTGAGTGAGTTGGGTGAGTGAGTTGGGTGAGTGAGTTGGATGAGTGAGTTGAGTGAGTGAGTTGGGTGAGTGAGTTGAGCAAGTGAGTTGAGTGAGTGAATGAGTTGGGTGGGTGAGTTGGGTGAGTGAGTTGGATGAGTGAGTTGAGTGAGTGAGTTGGGTGAGTGAGTTGAGTGAGTGAGTTGAGCTGGCCACCTTGTTGGCAAAGGGCAACCAGTTATAGTGATGGATGCTGATGCATTGGAGACAAGGCGCAGCCTTGAAAGCCTAAGAAGGAAGATCCTCAACCTTGGTATCCTCTGGAAGGAGGCTCTGAGTCTTGGACTTCTCCTCCAACTTCTGGATCAACCCTTCGAGCTCGTACAAATCTTGTTGCACGGTATCAGCTGCGGCATGCAAGCGGCAACTTTCCTGCTTCAACTCGGAGAGTTGAACGCGCTCCAAGAACCCTGCACTCAACTCTACCTCACTCATCTTGTACTCCTTCAACCTTGATACCTCAACAAGGTTCAAGGGCTCACCCTTGTACAGGAACTCGTTCAAAGTCGCCCCTGCTACCCTTGGTGGATCCTGGACCGATTCTTGGGCTGGTCCTTCAACCACCGTGGCGGGTCTCGAACACTTCGAACTGTGCGCCAATCCACGTAACTCGCGTGCTCCTCTCGCCCTTCTCCAAGGAGATCATGACACCCATAGCCTTCATCGTGTATAGCAGCATTGCCAACACTTTACACCTTTCCTCTGGTCTGCCCCTCATCGCGATCAGCAGGTCATCGACGTAGATCTGCAGAACCGCCTCGTCGGGTTTCACCATGCTCTGAAGGAGTCTGCCCAATGCTGCGCTCAGTCGACCCATCAGCAACGGGGCTGCCTTATAAACCCGAACAGCATGGCCACCCACACCAAAGGCCTGACCCTCTCGGACGTCGGGGGCCATGCAGTGTATGGTCACAACACCGATTTGCTGCAGCTAGAGTTCTTTTTTTTCCGATCGATTGCCCTCCCTGGCGAGTGCCGGTGAGTGTCACGGCAGGGAAAAGTGTTGGTGACCAAGAGTGCTCGCAGCAACCAGAGAAGAAGTGCTGGGCCCACTGATGATGTTGGAAGTTTCATTGGGCCCAGTGGCTGGCAAGCCTGTTACTGTGCCCATCGCCAACCTCCAAAGCTACTTGGCAGCTTCTTTTGCTCAACTCCTCCAGCAATCATTGAGAGCCCATCCAAACTCAGGAATACTTTGTGAAACGGCCATTGGTTCATAAGCATTTGTTTGCATAAAACGGCCATTGGTTCATAGGCTCTTGTTTGCGCAAGACGGCCATTGGTTCATAGGCATTCAACTGCATCAGGATGGGCCTGAGACGTCTACCCGAGCTACGTCCCCGACTCAACGCATGCAAACACACGAGGATCTGTGCTTGATCAGACCCGGTATTGGACACATCTTGTCCGGATGCAACACGTATTTCGAGTGACGGGCGCGCAAGGTCCGGGAGACGGAGTGATTAACATTGTTGCATTGCTCTTGAGTTCATATACACCCGATTCCTGACCTGAGTCTTTTGAACGAAGTTCTTTGCTGAAAATATGCAATTTCTTCTCCACATTGACGTGTGGGTTTTTGTTTTTAGTGCTGTATGCGCTCCTCCTCCTTCCTTCCCTCCTTCCTCCCCCCCGCTCAACAACCACCAACCAACATCCACCAACAACATCAAGTCACTCACACAACCAACAACATCCACCAACAAAACGTCCACCAACAACATCAACTAACTCATTCAACTCACTCACTCGAGCCACTCTCACTCAACTCACTTATTCAACTCACTACTCATTCAACTCACTCACTCAACTCACTCGCGCAACTCACTCACTCAACTCACTCACTCAACTCACTTGCTCAGCGAGCTCGTGTTGCAAACAACATTGCATAGGAACATCTGCGCCTGTCGCGAAATCTGCATTTCGAGGTTCACAAAACGCTGTGCCTGCCACGAAATCTGCACTTCGAGGTTCACAAAATGCTACGCCTGCCACGCGCAATTTACACTTCGAGGTTCACAAAGTGTTGCGCCTGCCACGAAATCTGCACTTCGAGGTTCACAAAATGCTACGCCTGCCATGAAGTCTGCACTTCGAGGTTCACAAAATGCTGCGCCTGCCTCGAAATCTGCACTTCAAGGTCGCAAAGTATATTGCACCTGCCACGAAATCTGCAAACTATACTCACATGTCCAAAAGTCACGATTCACTGCACCTGTCACGAAATCAGAGCGCCTCACCATGTCCAAAGTGCTGCACCTTCCACGAAATCTGCATTTTGAAGTAAAACCGCTCCGATCGCTTTTGAACATGGACACATCATTCAGTGGTATTGAAAACATTTACTGGTATTGAGCCACCTTGCCCTGCTGGCTTAGGTCCTAGGTGCCGTAGGCTCAGCCACATCATCAGGCTGAATCATAGAATATGAGATAATCTGGTTGGCTTGGCCAGCAGTTTTTCAGATAGTCGATTGTCCGGTTGCCGTGCCCTTCCTCCTTGATTTGGTCTGGGTTGAGTCCTCTTCCTCGCTCTCGTTGGCGCTTCCGCCTGTATCTTCCGAGGGCTGTAACAACTTCCCAGCTGAATGCCAGCTGAAAGCGCTTTTCAGTTGGGAAAGCTTCCATCGGACATCGCAAGCAAATGTGCGCACCTTCAGCTGCTCTTTGTGAGAGCCACCTCTTGTTCTACCGACCCCGCAAATCGCTTTTGAAGCTTCTGTCTTGTCAGCTGGTGATTCTAATTCTGCAGACAAAGCTCTCCAAAACACGAGGTTCCCTTGCGCCTGCCACGAAAAGTGACCATCATGTCAAAAAATGTGCGCTGCGCCACAACGAGAGCGCAGCGCGACAAGCACCCGGCGCGGCCAAGCAGACTTTGCGAGCCTGCGCAGTCGAAATACACTTCGAGGATTTCGAGAGGCATGATCGTGAATAGCAGCGATTTAGCCGGACGCGGATGCACAACACCTCGAATCTAACACCGGCGCTTAACACCTACCATAAGAACCCCTAGTGTGTCCACACTGTTTGGGGAAAAACGATGCTTGTGCGGGCAACCACCCAAGCAACCAACCAACCAACGGTGCAAGCAAGCAGGCAAGCAAGCAAGCCAGCCAGCCAGCCAGCGAGCGAGCGGGCAAGCCACTAACCAACCAACGAACCAACCATCCAACCAACCAAGCAAGCAAGCAAGCAACCAAACCAACAAACCAACACACCAACAAACCAAGCAAGCAACCAACCAACCAACCAAGCAACCCAGCCACCGACCGACCAATCTGTTGGTGCAGGGGAACCTGATTTTGACCCAAAGTCACAGATTGTTCAACACAAGGACTCACCATAAAAGACTCTTGCGGCACTTGCGAAACCCCAAACGCCAAGCAGCAAAAGCATTGAGCAGGGCCAGGGCCACACCAGTGATCAGGACCAAACCAGCATAGCGCTGTGCCTGGGAGCCGCAAGAGGGACATGCAAAATGGACACAACATCTATGAATCCCGATACCAACCAAAAGATGTTGATTATCTTGCGCATTTAGTCTGAGGTTGCATATGCACGAACTCAGTACAGACCCGGACTAAACGTCCAATGACCTACAGTACATCGTCTCAGGAATTCTGAGACACCGAATCCTCCACCCCTTTTGAAGCCTGAAAATGCCCCCCTCCCAAAAACCGCTCTTGGTTGCCGTCCCAACAAAGGGGGGAACATGCCCAAGCACGACCGAATTGACTGGCAGACTGACATATTTGCACATAGAATGGGGTGGTGTGAAATGAGAAGTCTTTCTGGCCCAAACACGACCAACAGATAGATTGGGTGGTTGTTTCGAGCTCTTTCTGGCACTTCAACAGATTCCAGTCCCACTCCTTTTAGATCCACGTGGTCCGCGGTGGTTGGGCCATTTTCGTCGCAAAAACCGCGAGAGTCCGGCGCGGAAATCAAACCGATCCGATCGGGCACCGCCGTGCCTCAAGGACGCTCAGGCTGTACTCGGGCGAGAAGAAGGCCAAACATCTCTCCTGCATGCTTCGTGTGGAGGTTCTGGAAGATCCACTCAAATATAGCTTGTATAAGCAGTGGTTCCAGTTCGACTAGACTAAAAGCAAAGACCAAACGAAACCCTGTTTTCCTAAAGGTAACTACATAGGATCCACTGAAAACTATTTTTTGTCAGATCCACCCAAATGTGAAGCTTACATCATATCTCTACATGCATGTTGCGAGATTGCGTCTAGTGTCTACATTCCCCCTTTCGATAATTTGGAGATCAACAGCCCGGCCCAGGGAGCACTCATTGAGGCGGCTTATGTTTTTCTTTTTGTCCGCTAGTTAGTTGAAGGAGACAAGTCCAGGTCCAAACCAAACGAGGAACCTGGACTGGTCTCTGCACAGCTCACAAGGATCGTTGGGAAGATTTGGAACAAGGGGACGGTCTGCTTAAAATTGGCAAAGCAACTCGTGAGCCCCAAGCTTGGTCGCCAGCCGTCTTTCGTGAAGACACCCAAACACTCCATCTATGGAATAGATTGTATAGATTGACCTGTGAAACCATCCCAACGTAGGTCAATATGCTGCACAATGGACAATGTTCCTACCTGTCAATATTATGCATGTATATGCATGTATAGGTATTTATAGGTGTATAGTCCTGTTATGTGTCGGTCAGTGGATGAGGAGGTATATCAGGACCACACGAACCGCATATAAAACGACCCGCGCGAACCCGACCCGCAACCCGAAGAATTTTTTTGGTTAGATGTCATGGTGTCAACTCGTTGTATCCACCCAGCCGATCTGTAGAAGCTTGTTGCAATTGCAGGTTTATTTTCCAGCTGATCTGGCAAGTAATCTGATGATAACCTGCTAAACCACATTTGCCCATGACTCACCCCATACGTCTTGTTGACGCTACATCCATGACATTCCGATCCTGGTTGCTCCTCTTGCCGGTCATTGTGTGACCTTTCTACGTGACTCTATAGTAGTCTTATCGCAAACCGAACTCCCAAAACTCACCGTCAAGACGTCACCAAAGAAACATTCAAATCCGCCTGTTTTGACCTACCTCTTCTCAATCCATCCCAGACAATCCATGGGACTCAAAATAATTCCAGCCCCATGGATTGTTAGGGTTTCATATATTTTGTGTTTCTCTTGCGTCACCACATCACAATTCACAGCCTCACCAAAGGTTGCACAGTATGATGCTGAAAACGTGATTTCTTCAGCGTCCCAACTACCTACGATAAGTTAAATAAATAACTCGGGAACACTTCCTTATCACAAACAATCTGGACGCCAGCGATCACGCATTGAACCATAAACCAGGAGCTGGGTACTGCACGCTTGAGATGGCTTGCAAAAAAGCAATGGTGCTAGTGAATCTGCTTCCCGTTAATCCTTTGATTTTTTGAAGTGCTTGAGGGTTGTTTACTTGGGCATGTCAGAGAAAGTGCAACCACCGCTGCTCTCATTGCAAAGCTTCCTTGGGGTCTTTGGAGGTTTGGGGAGATTTCCACCATGAGTCTCCTCCCGAAAAACTCCTGCTTCATCACCAAAGGACCACAAATCTGTTTACCGGTACCCGCCATGTTCAACTATATACATGATACGATGTTTCTCAGAATTCGCAGGTTGTTGGCCTTCAATCGTCGGATCTCTTGGAAGGGTTTTAATGTTCTTGGTTTCAAGGGAAGTTTCTCAATCACATGGGTCCTTCATTAAACCTTGGATGACATGATGTATTTATTCATGTATACTTCATATACTTATTCCATGTTCATTGCTTCAGAAACCTATGACAAATGGTTTTATGATAGTTTAGGTGCACACTGCGTTCCAATAGCTCCTTTGACCCCCCTAGCCTGGAAGTTTCATTTGGGAAATCGGCCGCCAAACAAAAACAACGGTGCACTCTGACGGCCTCTCGCCACGCAGAAGGCCCACGCCGCAAGCACGGCAGGGTGGGCCTCGGCGGCGCACGGCGGCTTCGGCCACTATCTCCAAGCGGCCAAACGACATGGAAACACATGAATACATACTAACAGTTACTACTATATTTATATATATATATATATGCATGGGTTTCAGTGAAGGTAGGTTCTGGTATGATTGCGTTCTGCGAGTTGGGTCATGTTCTACTGCCGTCAGTAACGTTTGGAGGTCAGCGAGCAGCTTGGATGACAATTTTTGGGTCAGTTTTGGCGTGGAAGTAGATTGGAGAGCGGGGGGCGCTGGGATTGAGTGTCTGGAGCTGTCCATGGAGCCATGGAGGTAAAGACAGATTCGGAGCGGCCACGAGAAGAAAGATGGTTGTATACTGTAAAGACTGGTTTGTACTGCCGTCAGAAAGCGATGGAATTAGATGGGATTGAGGGAGCCTTGGGATTGAGTTTCTGGAGCTATGGAGCTATGGAGGTAGGATGGCCGGAGCCTTGGGATGGAGCTAGAGACGGATCCGGGCGGCCATCATGAGAAGAAAGATGGCTGTAAAGACTTCTGAGGGCACGTGTGGAACACAGCTGCTGATCTTGGCCGCCCGCAACTGGCCACTTCCAAATCAATGGCATTCGGTCCGGCTCCATCTCCAAACTTCCGGCTCCTTGGACTTCAACCCAATCGTCGTTCCTTCATGACCTTCGGCACCCCGTGCACAGAGCCAGGAGGCTTTCACCACCTGCACCACTGGAAACTTGCTTGCAGGAGCCGCGTCCAAAGCATCCAGCAAAGCCCCGGCAGTCTTTGTAGAGGACCCCCAAAATGCTCCTCAATGACACCTCCGGCGTCACCGAGGGTTATTTGAGAAGGCGGCGCAAGAATGAGACACCTTTGTTATTGTTGACCATGCGAAAATAATACTCTTATTGTCTGGATCGTCCAAAACTGTTCTTAGGTGGGCACATCATCACTTCATGTCTTGCCAGCCCAAACCCAGGCCTTCTTTAACGCGATGCTCAGCCATGCACCCGTGCCTCTACTCATGATAATCTATCCTCTCAAAGATTTCCTCATCGAAATACAGGTCACTTCAGAATGCGATGGCCAGCCATATAGCCTAATACAGTCCGTGGTCCCCGGCTGAAGGGTGAAACCCTGTAAAACACGAGGTCTTAGAACACCACGCGCAAAACACTAGAAAATTACAAGGGCATCAATTGCGAGGCGGTCCCTCCGGGGGGGTGTGCCCGTTAGTTACCTTCGCTAACCACCAAAAAAGGCCTCCGGCAAGGACACGGGTTGCGGCCCCTGGGGCCCAAGATGGCCCGACATAGGCCCTACATGGGCCCAAGGTGGGCCAACACAGGCCCTAGATGGCCTAACAGGGCCTAACATAAACTTGGCTCAACATCGCCCCAAGACTGCCCCACATAGCCCAAAGATGGGCCCGGCCTGACCACAAGACCACAACCAGAACCACTGCAACAAGAAGAACCACAATAACAACAACCATGAGCCATCCTATACATATATGTCTATCTGTGTGTGTGTCTGATATCCGTCCCCCTCAATCCGGCCACGGGCCCACCGTGGCCCGAGCTGGCTGAAGGGGCTCCACCCCCTGCCGCCGACCTACTAGGCGGAGGCAACCTACGACCGTCGTGTTTTACAGTGTTTTTTGCACGCGACGTCTAAAAACATCGTTTTTTTACAGTGTCATGCCGCACCGGCGTGCATAACCTGCATCGTGCGGTGGGCCCCTCAACCACGACCGCAACCACAACAACCACAACCATCTGCATCAACAACAACAACAACCATCTGCAACCACCCACCAGTGGTGGGCCCCTGGCCGGCTGTCGGGCGTCAGCCCTTAAATTCGGCGACGCCGTTCCAATGACGATAGCAAGCTAGCTTTGCTATACGGAGACGTGCCCGACGCCGCCGACTTCTTTTCGAGCATCACCAGGGCTCAGGTGGATTCGTCAAAAAACATCAAAAACATAGGGAAAATGATCAAACATGGCAACCGATGAAAAAGTAGCTTTCAAACCTCTTAATTGAAAATGGATACAGGCTTGGAGGAGAACTTTGGGTGGACCATCATTAGCATCAGCAGAGTCTCGGCAAGAAAGATGCAAATTCTTTGGTGCACGACTAGGCAGAAAACACTGTAAATTAGAGTGCTTTTGCAACATGTATGTAGCTTATGAAAAACGCTGTTCAACGCTGCTCGTATTCTGGTGATGCCAATGGTGCTCGACACAACTGCTACCTCAAAACTTCCTCTCCTCTTAGCATACTTTCTTCTCTAGCGATAAAGCTTTACAGTAAAATTGTTTAAATCATTTTCCCTATGTTTCGGCCGTTTTTTGAAGAACATACATACGTGGCGGTGATGATCAAAATGTCGGTTTGCGGCAGACATTTCTAGCACCACCTGGGCTTATATGGCTTCTTCCAATAACATCAGGACTTTGTAGTGAAAGACGCTGAAAAAGACCGTATCTTTGTGCATTTTCTAGCCTAAACGCAGATAGCTTTAGGCCAGAAAGTCCTCCAAACTATTCAAAAATCAAGTTTTCAACGCTTTCCACTCCAAAGCCCTGATATTTGAAGAAGCCCTGCGTGCGTGCGCGAGCGCTCTCGTGTGCGTGAGTGAGTGCGTGAGAGCGCGTGCACGAGTGCGTGTGCGCAAGTGCGTGTGCGTTCGTGTGCGTGCGGGTGCATGTGCATACGTGTGTGTCTGAAGCTGCGGTTGCCTGGCTTTTCCATCAGACCCTGGTGCGCACACCTGTGTGGGAGTGTGCAGGCGTAAGAAGCTGCGCTAATCGTTGCATTTTGCTGTGCAAGGAGCCTCCGGAGACGCGCAGTCCCCCCGTTCGGGCGTCGCCGGTGGGCAAAGCCTGTCAGATATTTTGGGACAAGCTTTCAACCTATTATATACTATAATCTACTGCAGCGTTACATATGGGGGTTGCTACCGTTTGAGCAGTTGGCGACACAACGTGAATATAACATGGGGGATGTTAATAGCATTTAATAGCGTTGGCCTCCAAACTTAATAGCGATGGCCTCCACACTTAATAGCGATGGCCTCCACACTTAATAGCGATGGCCTCCAAACTTAATAGCGATGGCCTCCACACTTCATAGCGAGACGCTGTTGAGTTTCTCAATGCAAGACTTCTGCTTTGCAGCACTTTCGGCGTCAGGTATAGGCTTGCGCTCCGTTGGCTTCTCTTGTGCCCCTTGGTCCACCCTCGGGTGTTGGTATGTCTGTCTGGCACATCGGCACGTTTCGCTAGGATGCCAACCACCCCATCCTCAATGGCGAGTGGTTTCAGGTTCTTCTTCTCTATGCACTTCTCTGTGGTTTCAACGGATGTGTGGCCAGCGATCTGTGCCAAGAGTGTCATTGGCATGCCCTTGTCCACTAATCCGTGGTGACACAGGTGAGTCAATCGTGACCTGTGGAAGGAATGACCTGACAGCCGCTTTGAATATCTTTGTCCCTCTGGTGTCTTTGCCAGCGCGGCTTTCATCCGCTTCACCTCGCAAGCTGTGTGAGTCCACGGCGGTCGGCCTCAGAGGCGGACCGCCGGTTGCGTAACCCTTCATTTCAGTTTTCTGAGGTCGCAACCATTTCCCATCTTTGCCACCACTTGTGTCCAGCACACTGCTTCTTGTCAAGCATCTCCCACCAGATTAAGGATGAGTTCCGTTCGTTCGTGCCGCGGTCGAACGACCGTGCGTTCGTTTCGACCGTTTCGACCGACCAACATGATGTTTGGAGCAAAGCTTGCCGACCTTCCACCGACAGTTCCCGGAACTCTGGACATAGATACCATGATATTTCAACTTTGGAGAGACTCTCTTCTTTTTCGTGCTTCGGAACATCGTCATCGTTGTTTCGAAGACGCTGGTGTCGTCACCACTTTTGAACCGCTGGGACTCCACAACGCCCTACGGCGCGCCCACCGCGCAGACACTGTGCCCAGCGGCGCAGGGCGCCCACCAATCTCTGGCAGCACCAGTAAGATGTAGCAGAAGCCACCGACGAAGCCTCCGACAAGCGGTTCGCCAGGGAAAGAAAGTGTGACATTTCTCGGGACACGCATAGCCTGGCTCGATCTATATATATAGCTCCTGTTGGCTCCTTGGATCTCTGGAAGAGTCCATTTGGGCGCCATGACATCTTTTTTGGGTGGGGCATGCCCGTAACATCCCGTAACACTGCAGGGCAGGGATCAACCCCTTAACACCGCCATCTTGACGCTCGGTTCCGACCTGTTTCCCATGCTTGCGGGCATGGGATTCCGGCCATGTAGAGACTTTCAATACACCCAAACGCTCCATGGGACTGCCATATATGCCGCTAAACCACCCCAACTGATCGGCAGTCCTATGGCAGTCCCATGGAGTGTCTGGGACATGAAACACATATTCAGGAGGCACAAAGCTCGGGGTGGTGTTGCTCGTCCTATCCAGGGGCCGTGGAGTAGCTGGGCACCTCGACTTCCTCGATCCTTTGAGCACCCCCTAGTAGCACCCCGACATGGAATTGCTGGAAGACTTTCTGACAGCTCCAAAGGTGCATCAGTGGGATGCTCAGAAACATTAGGAATCAAACTGAGTCCAACGACGTTGTTTTGGACCAAGTTCACCTGCCCCAAAACGATCAAGGCAGCGCTGGCCCTGTCTGTGTCTCAGAGTAGCCATCCAAGTCTCCGACCCCAAACCATACTAGAACGCCAAAAACAAATTGAACAAGTAAAACATATATAGTCAATTACACACATGTGTCCATACTTGATTTGTTTCAGATGTTTCTCCATCTCTTATATCTTAAAAAAAGACAAAATATAAAGAAAACACATCTGTTGCCTCACCAATTCGACCCCAAGGACACTTCCGCAAATGATTATTCCTCACTGCCGTCATCACCTGCACAAAGGCCTCTGAAAACCAGTTGAGCCGAAAGCCGGTGCTGACACTCACCACGCCGTCGACCGATGGGTCTTTGCCACCCACCCACCACCATCGGACGAGGCCCCCGAAGAACCAATCAGCGCATCCGGGGCTGCAGTAACCATCCCAAGTTGATGCTTGTTGTCTCAACTGTCGAACAAAGTCCCAAGGACAACGACGAAAGCGGCCTATTTCAATACCTGCCTCGTTTGCGCAAGAAGCACATGCTTCAACCTCCGCTCCACCGCTCTCGCTCGCTCTCCGACACCACCCTGACCGACACCGACACGCGACATTGCCTGCTAGGTGGGACACATTGCCGATGGTTCCATAGGGGCTGCTACACCTGCGCTGTGTTGGCGGAGTGTCCCGCGGAAAAGTCCCCGGGCGCGACGACGTTCGCAGCGTGTTTCTGTTCCGAAGCGCGCGAAACGGAGCGGGGAAACGGGGCGATTTCGAGTGCCTGCTTGGCTGAAGCATGAGGTGCGGAGTAGGATTTAAAGAAGTCGTGAGGTGTCTCCTTTTTGGCCACCCCATCATAAGGCCGCACTCCTTGGAACTTGGAACTGCCTGATGGATGATTTTGAGCGGCTCGAGCTGTGAGACGGGCGATGTGAAAGGTGCGGGCTGAAAACAACAGATCTGTTCTCGCCAGGCGATGTGAAAGGTGCGGCTTTTTCACGCGTGTTCTTTGTAACATGAACCTATTTGACATACTGTTCGCAAAATGAAGTGAGTGATCTTCTAGCAACCGCCAATTAAGCACAACAAGGAATAAGGAAAAACATGTTGTTCCCTTGCCCAAACTCCAGAGGTTAAGGGTTGTCAACTGACTGGGTAGGTTATTTGTCTTCAACACTACCACTGGTGATGCTGCCTTTGTTCATCCTTTTTCCATCTGTCGGGTTTGGCGGGCTTGTTGGGTCACCTCAGGGGTTTGGTTCCTTCCACATGGTCAGTGTGGGGAATGACATCCCAGGGCCCCACAATCCCAAACAAATAGGTTGACATGTCTGAAAACACATCCATGCTCCTTGGTGGTGGTGGTGGTTAGTTGCCTCACACATTTCAACGGATGGTCAGTGGCTTCAATCATCCCAAAGGTCTAACATCATGTGGACTCTTGATTCATATACCTCCCCACTGTCCCCACCTCCCCATTTCATGTTGAGTCCTTCAACCCGCAAAAATGCCCACAAACCCTCCGAATCTCCCTCCCACCCTCTCAGAATGTCGATGCCCATGTGGATGGCGGCATATAAGCCGCGCACCTCGCGCGCGACAGCAACAAAAATGACGTTGAGACGCAACGTCGACTGCCATGACAGGCATAATACCGGGTCCAACGTCGACTCATCGACTCATCGACGGGCTCCCCCCACCCAAGATCGATGACTAGAGAGGTCCACCCAACGTTGGCTGCGCATCAGACCCACTTGGACGTGCGGAGCACCTCATGAACTGTGCGGACGTGAATCACCTATACGGATGTGTGCTTGTACTGTGCCAAGTAAAGCACCAGGTTCTTCATGGTATACGTTCTCTTTTGAATTTCTTGGACGTACCCCGTACCCCGTACCCCGGCTGGTGGGCGCCCGGCACGTGGTCGGTCCAAGCACGGTTCAGTTGGTCGACAGTGAGTCGAACTGATAGCAACGAAGCTCCTTTCAGATGACTCAACCCAGGACCCAGCAATTTGACAATTCCTTCTTTGGGGTTTTCTGCCAAAGAGAAGTGTGTGTTTGGTTTGGGAGTCGCCCAGTCAAGCGGGAAGAGTGAAAGGATGAAAGATATGAATGGTTGCAATGGTTGCAATGGTTGCATGAAAATATATGAACATGCATGAATCTTCATCTTCCTCAATTGGATTCATGTGTTGAAGACTGTCTGTCCAGGACGCCTGGCCTCATGAGATTGGACTTGGAGCCGTGGCCGGTACTTGGAGCACCCCGGTGCCCGCTGATGATGGATGGATTCTTCCACCCAATGGGGACAAGGCGATGGACCAATGCCCTGGGTTGGATCGGCCTCCGTGGTGCTTCCGGTCGTTCTGGGGTGCGACCGGCACCCGATGGACTTGGTGACTTGCTGGGAGGCCGAAAGATCCGGGTCGCGCGGACCGCGCGGGTCGAACGAACAGGACCCCCGTGGCACAAGAAGCACCAAGAGGACAAGGAAAGGACCCCGCATGCCGGTGAAAGGAAAGAAGCTTCTGCTCAAACTGCCAGTTCCTGGCTGTCAGGGGGCAGCTTTCCAAAGCAAACGAACCTGGAACCGTGCACTTGCTCGAGAAACCAGCTGGCTCTCCTGAATTTCCTGTTGCAGGTCTTCGGACGCCGGCGAGCAGCGGTTAGGAGCTAGCGGACCTATAGCGACGAAACCAAGGCTCTGATGCTCTGCGATGCTATAGCAGGCTATAGCATTCCGTATTCCTAGATCTTCCAACCATATGCAAACAAATTATGCCTTGTGGGATCCTTTTGGCTGGTTTCTTTGTACATCGATGAAACGGCTGACATGTTGCACAGTTGGAAGATCTATAGGTATAGCATGGTCCAGCTGCATCATCCGTCCTCCAATCCGGTGGGAACCGTTCGTGCTGGTCACCGGTGTCAGCTGGCATGCAGATGCCATCGCTTCCGCTTGAAAAGAACCACCTGAACCAGAAGGGCGGCTGAAAGCAGCCCACGGCATTCACCCCTGCAACTCAGGACGAAGGACGTTGCAGTCGCAGGCGATGGATGCGCTCAGTCGTCGTGCTTCTGGTCCAAGACGCCAAGGTGTCTTGCAGAATCTGCTTGAAGAACTGCCAGGGCCCAAGGCCCAAGATCCTTCGGTTCAACACGACTCTTGACCTCAGCTGGACCTGGCTTTCCACGGCTTTCGGCCGGCTCTTGGATCACCGGGAGTCAATTGTGTCCCCACAGGGTGTCTTGCCATGCATCTTGCCACACTCAAACCCTTCACATGATTCATGATCAAATCCAACGTCGGAATTGAGTCATAGATTCATTTCAAAGAAGACTCCTTAAATAATACATCTGGATGTCTACCCCAATGCCACTCTTTCAAAAGGAAACAAAAACACATCGTTTAACCTTTAAACCTAAACCGATTGGTTTCTGTACAGTTTCATCCTCCTGTACGAGTACACACCTCTTCATCCTCTTCTCTCTACCCATCTCCGAGTCTCCTCGACCTCGCTGCCGCACGCCGCAACGCACCCGCCGCTTCGCTCGTTGAAGCCCGGCCTCTAAGAAGCTCCGCAACGAGGGGTCGGCATCGGCACCCAAGAGCAAACCACACACCGCCAACAAGGCCTCGGCCGCGAGTGTGCGAAAGGCAGTGGGGGTGCGAGCTCGGCGCACAGATGCGGCTCTGTCGCGGCAGGAAGGTTCTATACCTAGGTCTTCCTCTAGGGGTCTTATTTGTTGAGTTTGGGATAGAACATGGTTTTCAATCGAAGCGGCGCTTTTGGAATGAAACTTAATTTTTTGACTTTGATGGTCTGTGTGCATGTTGGAGCCACTTACTTCCTGTGCCCATGCCTACACCGTCCGGAAGATCATCCCTTGGCTGTTGGTGCGCCCTTCAGTTCCATCTCACACATTTTTCCTCATCCCGGCTCTCTACAGGTACCAGCATGGCGGAGACACACTTCAGCCTATCGCCTGTGATCACTTTCTTGGAGGCACTGGGAGTTGGAGAGAAATTGGTACACTCTTTGACTTTAGGTGGGTTGCTTGGACTGGTGTGATCCGCATGAACTCCACTGGGTCTAGCCGAGCTCAAGTTAGAGCTTGCCACCTCACCGGCTCAACCTCAGCATGGCGCAGCTTTCGGTTGCTCTTGAGCGAGAAGAACATGTTAGGCATCTTGCCCGGAAGAACACGTTGCTCTTGGAGTGGCCTACTCTTGCAACTACAGGTGTTCCTTCATGCAAATCCTTGCTCAGCAACTTGAAGATTATGCTCATCGTTGCTGATTGGTGGTCATCATCAAATGATGAGCCACTGCTGATCCCGATATCTGTTTTGAGGGCCGAGGCTGGGAAAGCACAAATTCTGGATGGGGCATGCCCCCCCCAATACAAATAGCTTATTTATCGGGTGGCTTGAAACTCACCTTTGCCCTTAGGTCAAAGACTTTTGGTCGCGAATGGGGATGGCAGTGGACCCACCCCGGGTAAGCGCCGATGCATGGGGAATCAAAAAGCTTTTCAGTCATGCAATGAGACGCTGGGGCTCTGGAGCCCTTGGCCCTAGAGACACTTGGACTAAGTCAACTTTTTCACCAAAAAGTTTACTGTTGGGGTTCTATCTTAGAAAGAAAAGAGCTGGCCACAC